TGCACAGGAAGCCATTCCTGGAGCCGGCCAAGCGGCACGGCAAGCGGGGTGGCACTTGACGGCCGTTCCTAGGCCTGCTGGTACTTTGCGAGGAGGTGTTGGTATCCTTTGCAAAGACCCTTGGAGCTGCATTGTTGTCAAATCGTTTCACAGCTCTGATGCTCAGCTTCTGATGGTTACTGCTGGGGCCCCTGGTTGTGAAATGTTGACGGTGATCACAGGTTATCGACGTCCCAAGTCAACCTTTGAGATCTTTGGTGTTCTTAATGATTGGTTGGCGGAGATTCCGCATAAGCCGTGGATTCTCACTGGAGATTGGAACGTCGACGTTTCTTCGTCTAGGTTTGCCGATGTCTTCCTGGCATGGCATGGTACACTGGTTTCGTCTGGTCTTCACCAAAAGGGAAGCCACGCTATTGATGCAATTGTTGCAAGTTCGGCGCTCCACCCTCACTGTGAAGCTGCCGAAAACTTCAAATATGGCTCCGATCATGACGCGTTACTTGTCGGCCTGTGGAGATCAAAAAATGCAGCCTTGTCTCCCTGAGATGCGCTTTGCTAGGCATAGAGCTAAGAGAGAACCTGTTGGCCCCTTCTCGGAGCTTGTTTCCTGGTCTTCTGTTTCGGTCGATCATCAACACTGGCAACAGCTTGTGCGAGCCGGCTCCATCAATGAACTGTGGAAATGTTGGAATCTGGCGGCTGAACGATATTTAACCTTGAACCAGGTTTTGTCCGATCACCAAGGTGAAGTTTGTTTGGGCAGCTCTCCGCAAATTCGGCTGGGTGGTTCTTCTAAGGGCGTTGGGCAGGCAATTCGCGAACGCCAGGCACGGCGAGTGTACAGACGAGCTTGTGAAGCTCATTTTCAGGCGACGCGTGGGCAGGTCAATCCGCGACTCGTGCAGTCTCTGGTCCGGTCATTTCCTGTTGGTGTGGAGCTTATTCAGCAAGAGGATTGGCCAGGCTTAGAATCTTTGGCAAAAAAGGACCTCACGCAGGTGATCCAAGATAAGCAGAAGGATCTGGCGCGCCGCTGGAAGGCGCAGGTATCTTCGCTGGCTGGCGCCTGTGCCTGGGTTAAGAAGACTTCGCCCCCACCTCCTGTGCTTCAGCAGTCGGATGGCACTTTAGTTTTCGGTAAGCAGTCTGGCGTTGAAGCTCTTTTTTCAGGATTGGCAACCGATTTTTTGTGGTGACCCCGATGAGACCTTGGCGGTTGACAAATATCGTAGGTTGTATGATCCTTTCATCCTGCAAAGTGATGGTTTTTCAGTGCCGGAACTTGATGTGGCTGACTTGCGCAAGGCCGCTCAGAAAGCTCAGAAGACGGCTGCTGGCTGTGACGGCTGGAGTGCTGCTTTGTTGCTTGTTCTCCCAAACCAAGCCTGGTTGCAGCTTGTTGACATTCTCACACGATGTGAGACAGATGCCGTGTGGCCGGATGGCATGTTGGCGTGGAGAGTAGTGTACCTCCCCAAGGAGGTGAAGTCAGGTGCAACGTCGACCATGAAAGTGCGTCCGATTGCCATCGGCCCTGCGCTCTACCGGCTGTGGTCCAGCGTGAGGGCGCATCAACTAGGTCAGGCTTTGCAATCAAAATTTAGCAGTAGACATGCGGGTGGTACGGGCGGGGTTAACCCTCAGGTTTTGCTTCTCGATATGCAAGTGAAACAGCAGTGTGAAGGCCATGACACTGGAGTGTCCCTTGACTTCGAAAAGGCTTTTGATAAGAGCAGTTGGCCGGTGTCGATTTGGATCCTTGAGCAGTGGGGTGCCCCTGTCTCGGTTCTCAATGCGTTGCGAGCCCAGTGGCGTTCTC